AAAAAAAAAAAAGCCTCATTGCAGTCAAGTTGAATTCTGACTCATAGCCACGCCCACTGGGTTTCTGAGGCACCAAATCTTTATGGAAGTAGATTGCCCTATCTTCCTTCTGCACAGCAGCTGGTGGGTTTGAACAAACAATGTTCTCATTAACAATCAAATGCCTTCCTTAGGCACTGCACCACCAGCGCTTCTGCAGGTAAGAGAATATTTTTCCAAATTATGGTATACCACTGGAATTTAGAATAGCAAATGACTAGGAAGTGGCTTCAGAAGCTGCTCAAACTATTTTTTGGTATGGTAGTGTTTTTAGGAAGAGCTCTGATGACACTGTGGTGGCTGCCAACCGAAAGGTCAGCCGTTCAACCCAACAGCTGTTCTGTGAGAGAAAGATGAGGCAGTCTGCTTCCATAAAGATTTACAGCCTTGGAAACCCTCTAAGACAGCTCTGTTCTGTCCTGTAGCCTCACTATGAGTTGGAATCAACTCGATGGCAGTAGAGTGGGTTTGCTGTCTGGACTGTCTCTAGTGCTTTAACACCTCAATCCAATAGCAAAGAAGGAAAGAGAGATTGGGTGATGGGTAACTAATACTGGTTTTCCCTAGGAATGGTCTTGAGAAATAACAAAGGTAAGGAAATGTGGATCATCTACACCCTCTTCTGCAGAGGGTCGATACATGTTTTAGTGTCTTAATAAGTGTCAGACACTGAGAATTGGTTTTGTTTCTTTGGAGTTCTGGGATGTTGCAAAAATGATTATGCACTCAGCTGCTAGCCAAAAGGTTGGGAGTTCAAGTCCACCCAGAGAAAAGGGCTGACAATCTGCTTCTGAAAAATATGGAGTTGCCATGAGTAGAAATCAGCTCAACAGCACATGGTACTGGTTGGTTTCTTTAAGATCTTTCAGCCAATCACTGACTCCAAATCTTTGTTTGTCAGCAAATAGAGATCTGGGAATGAAGCAAAGCAGCAATTTGGGAGACTTTCCATGGGATTGAATTAAAAGCATTAAAGCTTCTTTACTCAATAGAATATAATTCCTTTTAAAAAAAATCAAGTAAGGATTTTCATTCTCTGCTATTAAGAGTTGAGAATAAAAAAAAAAAAAAATTGCCGTAGATACTGATCTCTGGAGTTTGTTCCTGTGTTTTGCTCCTTGGAGAAGTGGTGCGATTTTGGTTCTGACTGAATTAATTATAGATTGCTGATCACTTGAGTACAAGTAAAACAAAATCAATTGAAATACAATAGTAATTGAAATGAGGCAAGTGGAAATGAGGTCATGGAAATGCCAAAAATCTTTATTGCGATAAAGTCCTTTTTCTGTGTTACAACTGGTATGAATTTTCACATCTACAATGTTGTTGGGTGTTCCCGATTCCGACTCACAGTGACCCTGTATGACAGAGTTGAATTGCCTCATGGGGCTTTCTTGCCCATAATATTTATTGAAGTGGATCACTAGGTCATTCTGCCATAGATCTGCTAGGTGGATTTAAACTGTCAACCTTTCAGTTAGCTGCTAAGCTCTTACCCATTGCACCACCATTCTCCTTATATGTATATGAGGGAAACTATAAAGATTCCTGAGTGAAAGTTAGCTTCCCTTTAAGTGAATGTTTCCAATGCTAGTCATGTAATCTGAAGTTCTGTGTATAGTGAAAAAATAAAAAGTAGTTTGACATGAAATTCTCTCTCAAATATGGCTATGATTTTCCCTCTAGATGTTACAGGTAAATATGTTTTATTTTTCAATACTTTTTTTAAACTACTCGAGGTTATAGTTTAAGTTCTTTGTTCTTTTGTTTATATCATAGCACAAAGCTAGGCAGAAAGGACATACTAAATATGAGCCTATGGATAAATGAAGTTTAAAAACTGTTTGAGTCTATTTTGTATGTGAGTACCTCAGTTTTGTGGAGAAAAATAATTTGTTGACAGACCAAGTTAAACCTATTGCATGGTATTTTAATGAACAAAATGTTATTTTTTGAACACTATCTTCCATGATATGCGGGAGGTAGAGGTGGGGGTGGTTCAGGAAAGGCAAGAGGAATGAAGAATATGGGGGGTGGGGAAAAGCAAAAAACATAATACAGATATTAATCTAGAAGTAAAATTTTTGCCAGATCTCTAAGATTTTCAGTTCTCTATTCATTATTGAAAATTATTCCCAAGACCAAAAATTATGAAGACTACCATAATGCTAAATTACGCAATTATCCTGGAGTATATGAGGCCACTGAACTAATACACTCATATTAAATCTCTTTTTTAATATAAAATTAATAAACTTAATTAAAGGTGAGTCAAAGATTGTACAGCTCATTTTAAGAATTAAAATAGCTAAAGTAAATACAAAGCTATGTGGGAATACATACCTCATCTGTCATTGGTAGCTAATGAATTCTTTTCCATTAAAATTTAATTGAAAATCTTCAATGATATTTAAGCTTTCACAGAAGTGTAAACTACGGTGACTACAATTCACAATGCATTTAAAACAATTATTCTTTATCATTAAAGTTAATAATATGCACATTAACCTCTTATGTAGTCTAAATCAATATTGTAGTTTAAAAGATATGACCTCTGGACAGCTTTGTCTAAATATTGATTTCATTGTCATTTGTATAAGATATCAAACAAATTACATGCTGCACTAATACCATTAAGGCTGCCCCCATAGAGGCTCTGACTTTATGGTTCTTATAATGTAAGACATGACATTACAAAAATATTAAGGACATCACCAAATATTATTGCCAAGTGGACAAGATGTGACCATGGCAGGGCAGAGTGGCTGTAAACAGATGATAACTTCCAAATTCTTTACTCTCAGTGGACAGAAAAAAATACTGCTCTTTAACATGCAGATTGGTTGTTGATGTTAAGTTTCAAATGACAGATTTTTTGTTGTTGTTGCCTTCGAGAGTCGAGAGTCGAATTGACTTTCTTGTGGTGAAGTAGATATCTCAGAAGAGAGTAACCCAATCTTAGTCATTAACATGTTGTAATTATGTAATATAGCAGTTTTCCCAAAATAAATTTGTTCAGGAATTCATGTTCCAAGTTACTAATGAAGCAGATAAGTTGGAAAAAATATATATGGGTAATAGTAAAGAGGCTGAGTGAGCTTTAAAAGTGATCACTGCAGAATTAAATAAAAACAGATTTAGTGATGGTTATGCATCATATTTCCTCTCATAAATGACAGTTATATTGTTATTTTTAAAATTTGCAAATTGCAATGTCAACGGTATAATTTGCTCTTTTACTTTTTGCAGGTTCTAAATTCCTATGAATCACAAGGACTATTAACATCATCCAATTTTTCTAACTATTTTGATGGGGTTTTTTTAAGTTAATTGTTCTTCACATTTTGCTACTAAAAAACTTTTTGGAAGAGAGATATGATCATGATCAGGAAATGAACTCTGGCTGCTATATATACTGAAAATGTTCACCCCAAATCTATTACAGGTAAAAGTGATCCTTTTTGTGTAGTGGAACTGAACAATGATAGGCTACTTACACATACAGTCTACAAAAATCTCAATCCTGAGTGGAACAAAGTCTTCACGTTGTAAGTACTCATTACCTTGAGCTTATCTGGAAAACGGGGTTAAGTGATATTTATTTTTGAGTCCCCCACCCCAACCCCATTTATCCTTAACTGGTTAAAAACTCAGCGCATCTGGCCTTCCCTTTACTAACAACTATGAATTTTATAACTGAACACCTTCCTGATAATAAAACCTGGGGAAAGGAGTATGCCATTTTTTTTGTTTTGTTTTGTTTTCACAGACTTTTTTTTTTAATTGTACTTTTTATATAATTTGAGTAAGGATTTTTCTCCTATTAGCTGAACTGCTTCTTCCTTTTATACTTTCTATTGAAATTCTCTCCAGTTGCACTGACACCAAGGAAGACAAAGCTCTATTTGTTCCATTGCTGAAATCAGCAAACAATCTGGTCACGAATTCGGCAGATGCTTCAGTTTTGGTTTGTTTCATTTTAGCACAATAAGAATATGAAGCATTGTCCTAGATACCAAAACAGACTTTGAGTTAATTTTCTTTTTGTTTCAAAAAAGTTTGTAAATCTTTTTAATTATGAGCTGTGAAAGCTGACGATGCTACACTCTAGTACCTCCTAAGTTTAATTTTTTAAAACTAGGCTTTGGAAATAGACTGTGAACAAAAGAAAACTCTCTAAGCCTAAGTACTTCTTAAAGGCTTTCTAACTTTTCATTTTTTGCATAGAAAAAAAACTGCTAAATTCCTCATTATTTTCTTACTATAATTTCTCTGCTTAAGAGCCAGTAACTAATCAGCTTTAATTATCTGACCAATTTTTTTCTTAAGGAATTCCACATTTTTATAAGAGATGAAAGCCTGGTCAGGAAAATTGCCCTCCTAAGAAGTTTGTGGAGAATGTTTTTCTCTGGAATGCATAATTGAATGAATAGGTTTGATTATTATCAAAGCCATTAATTGATTGTGCCCTGATAATGCCTCTTCTCACATGTGGTTGTGGTTTTTCAGTGATGAATATATTCATTTTTTTTGTTTTCTCTTTATTCACGTTTCCTTAATAAATAATTTGATCAAAGAATGAATGCTGTCAACAATTTGGGCTTATTTTTCCAAAAACAAAAATATGAAGAGAGCACACAGTTGTTTATTAACATATGTTGTCTTTGGAACATAATGGAACTCTACTTAATTTATAAATCCCAGGGCGGTACAGTAGCTATACATGTTACATTTTCTCCATCCTGCTTTCAGTATTAGTTAATTTTGACTGCAAACTTAGCAGAAACTTAGTCAATATTTTGGTGACAGCAGTACACAAAAGGGAAACCTTCTCTTAGTATAAAGAAGAATTACTTAAAATATACTTTGATTCTTGCTGATATTAAACCTGGTCATGTTTTACATTGGGGTAATGGGAAGATGGGAATTGATGATAATTATGGGAAGAAGGAAATATCTAAAAAAGTCAGTGCCACTTATTAATATTTTATATATAAATTTATTCTGTGCTCATCTAGATGGAAAATTCTATTTCATTTAAAAATTATATTTCATTGAAATTATAATGGTATTCAAAGTTCCAGATGATAGAACCATCACTGTAGTCTACTAAGATGCATTATGGGAAATTCTGTCAGATATCAAGCTATTCTGTGTATGTGTGTATGCAAATAGCATGCATAAAAACATATGCATAAAATCAGCTGGAGGTATCTAAATTTTCAAAACCATTTTTGTTCCTGCTGCCCACTGATGAGGTCTTTTTTTCTTCCTACATATATCTATTATGCAGCAACATTAAAGATATCCATTCTGTTCTTGAAGTGACAGTTTATGATGAAGATCGGGATCGAAGTGCTGACTTTCTGGGCAAAGTTGCTATACCATTGCTGTCTGTAAGTTTTATTCACCTGACACACTGCTCTGTGTTGCTTTTACTCAAGGAAAGGGAAAAAAAAAAAAAACCTCAGCTTTGTGTCTGTCATTTCTCAACCAAGGTCTGTAATAAGAACACTAAAAATTTTAACATACTCAATTCACGGCCATGTTGAATCCCATGATAGTTAATTTTTCCTGACAGACTTGATCCTGGTAATGAACAGGTACTTGTCAGAATTGCCACAGTTGTTTTGGGTTCTCTGTCAGTTTCAGCAGCTGGGGGTCAAAGGTCACTGAGGGAGTGTATTCAGTGGAGACCGCGAGACAGACGGCTGTCATGTCCTTTTCCCGCAGATTCAAAATGGTGAACAGAAAGCCTACGTCTTGAAAAACAAGCAGCTGACAGGGCCAACAAAGGGGGTCATCTATCTTGAAATAGATGTGATTTTTAATGCTGTAAGTCTTAACTTTGGCTTTTTTGTACTGCTAAAGAGTTCAGTTTCATGAAAGCTTTTGTTCCTGATTTGTAGAGAATTTCTGTCATTCGTCATTTTCTCTAAACCTTGATGTATCCTGGAGAATACGCTTCTGCCACTGCCTGGCACACCCACACTTTCTGTTATACTTGGCGACTGCCGCTGCGGCTGTGCTGCGGCCGCTCCTGCCGGCGTAAGAAATAGAAGCGCATGCATGTGCAACTGTATACATTTATATTTTATAAGCACAGCAGCCAGGACTTTGAAACTTTAGAAATTATTGCAAATTGAACTGGGTGAAAAACTGGTAAACATTTGTAATATATTAATCCATAACAGACACATATGTTGATATATAGGTGAAAGCCAGCTTACGAACATTAATACCCAAAGAACAGAAGTACATTGAAGAGGAAAACAGACTCTCTAAACAGGTAAAAAAGCAAGGAAAGATTAATCCCTCTCGGAAGACCTGATTATATCTGTAAAACATCTAAGTAAGTTCAAATAAACTTTGGAAGTATGGAGGGGGGAAGACTGGAATTTTTGATCATCTACTTATGTGAAAAATGGCTCTTTCTTTTCTTTTTCTTTCTTTCATTCTTCTTTTCTTTAAAAGAGCAAACGAAGACAATACCAAACTACTAAATTGGATGGGGGTGGTCAGAAAGAAAAGGGGATACTGTACGCACTGCAAATAATGGATATGTGTTCATGCATTAGCAAAAGAATGATCATTTTGACATAAAATACATTTGATTGCCATGGAATGTGTAAATGAGAACACCAAAAGCTGAGGTTCAAATATATGTCCAGACCACCCACAGGTATGATGCAGGTGTGTGTAAAGCAAACCCAGCATCAAGTTATTCCCTCTAATCCAGATGAGAGAAAGCTCCATCTTTTAAAGAAAAAAAAATCCTGTTAATTAGATTTTAATTATGGTCTTTTATAAGTGATCTTTTATTGCCATCTTAGCTAAGGAAAAAAGGAAGAAAGAAAATTACAAAACATTTTTCTATCACAAAGGAAAGTCACTTATAATTTTTAATTAAGTTTGATATCAAGTTCCGAAAAAGTACTGAGCAACTCCATTTTTAACTTCTAATTAACAGAGCAAAAATAAAATATTGGTTATGACTATAAAGTTTACCAACCTTATCTGTCTTGAAATATTTAATAATTTCCTATGTTATTAGGAATCTGAAAATTTTTTTTATTTAATCAAGTCACCATAAACAGTGAAATCTTTGATAATTTAAAGAAAGTGCATGAGTTACAAATATCTATCTAAATGTAAATACAGATTTTGTTTCTCCACAAAAATAGATAAAAGTAGCTCTTAAAAGAAGGTGATCAGGGACCAAGAAGGAAAACAAATAGGCAACCATTTACTTTCCCTAAAAGAAATTTAAATTTTAACAAATTGTTAAAACTGGCATGCACATGCATGCATATAATATTTACACCTGTATTTGTTGGCAGATGACCTTAGTAAACTCTGCATAGTTATTTCTTTAAATTACCAAATCAGCATTGTAGTGTGTGTGGAAGTAAAAAAATATCAACCTGCAGACATAGGATTATTCTAATTGTTAATATAGCTGTATGTAATTTTTCAAATTACCATCTACTGCTTATGTAAATATTTTTATAGTTGTATCATACCTTATTTTTAAAATTTAAATTATATCATTATATTTAGATTTTTAATAAAAGATTCCATAAAGCACTTGGTTACTGAAAAATTTTTCCTTAACTCCAAAATTATAAGAAAGTATGTTTAAATTTAAAGTGGGAGAGATAGATGATGATGATGACAGATAGGTAGATACATAGAAGTTTAGATGCATAGATAGAAAGGAATAGAAAAAGAGAAAGAGGAGAGAGAATATGATCATAATAAAGAGAGGAGGAGGATCCTGCCAAATAGTGAAAACTTTTTGTTTTCTATAATAAAGCAACACTTGATAGATTTTCCCTAAAATTAATTTCACTTTGAAATAACTTGAAGTCAAAGTATTTGGTGAATGTTAAAACCACAATAAATCTTAAGAGTTTAAAATATATTTAAGGTGCAGAATTTGAAAGTAGCCAAATTTTTTTTTTTTAATCTATTAGAGATTAATTTTTTTTTTGAAGAAAGGCAGTCCAACCTATATGGTAATAGTGAAGAAATCACTCTTATTAGTACTTTCCACTTTCTCCAATGATACTTCTAATTCTTTAACTTGTGAGCCAAATTGCTTAGTATATTCTTGCACCTTTATTAACTGTCTTAATCGTTTTGAAATCACAATAACCTTGAAGAATTTTGCAGTGTATCTGGTGGTTTTCAGTCCTGCAAATTCTAATACTATTTTAATTCTCTTTACAGCTGTTGCTAAGAAACTTTATCAGGACGAAATGTTGTGTCATGGTGCTCATAAATGCTGCCTACTACGTTAATAGTTGCTTTGATTGGGATTCACCCCCAAGGAGTCTCGCTGCTTTTGTGGTATGATCATACTGTATTACTTACATTGTTATTCATTAAATTCAGTAATCATAGCTGCATGTTTCTGTGGCTATAGTAACAGTTATGTTGATGTGGCCATTTTAAAACTCTTATTTTAAGACTTGACTGGACAGATTTGCCGTGGGCAGGAACCTGATGGATTGTACAAGGTCTGAGTCCAAGAATACATTTTTCCCTCCTCAGATTTCCGGAATGCAAGACGTCTCAGCCAATGTATAATTTTCTCTGTGACAGCTAAAAAGTAAAATTTTACATATTGCATAATTCCAAATCCCAATAGAAGAGCCAAGAAAAGTCCTTAGTGTTAAAGAAAAAATTAATAATCTTGACCATCTCTATTTGATTTTATTTTGTTCCATAGTTACTTTTTTCAAAATGTGAAAATCATTGGCAGTAAGATGCTAGTTTGCTAATGCTTAAATATGTGAATTAATATATGAATTAAAGGGAAGTGGATGTGACCTATTTTAGAGATATTTTATTATTTCTGAGATTTCCAGTTTTTAAAAAGGCACAAGTGAGGATTTGATAAAGCCAAAGAGTCCTCTAACAATGTTCATCTTGTAGCCTTTTTCTTTGGTTATTTGAAAACTGCTGATGAGACCCACTTGCAGAGCTGGAAAATCCAAAGGAATACTTTTCTCTGAGCATTAGCTGGGATTTTCTACTCCTGTGTTATTTTTGCTAATTCAGGACTTCAGTTTGAAGTTTAAGTGGAGTCCTTCTTTTGAAATCCTTTATTTTCGTTTCTGTTAGAAATGAGTACCTTATGCTTCCTTGTAGTTGCCAGTTTAGCAGAATATGACTTTATTATTATGAGGGCTTACAAGAAGAGCCTTAATTATAGTAGCAAATCAACATTTTAGTATTACCATTCAAATGAGCGTATGCACATCTGTTTAGTACTTTGAGCTCTGTCCTCCTCTCTGGCCTTGTATAGGACTTTCATTAATGTCTGAGCACATTAAACAAAGAGTGTGTATGTCCCTTTGTCTTATAAGTTACCAGAAAGTTAGGCGGCCTGCTTTCCATAGCCATGTTATTGTCTCCTGAGAGAAAGCAACCATGATTATCAATAGGTTTTAGAAAATGAAATCTGCCTCTCTCAATATTCTTTAAGTAGCTCTTTCACATAACAAATTTATGTTGGTATTGATAAGCAAACTTTATTTTGATTTTTCACTAGCCATGGAGGTACTTTGATTTTAATGAGAAAAAATGATATAAGTCTTCATAAGCTTTCCTTCTGACTTTAAGAGGTCACTCTTGTAAAGTAAATTCAAGATGGCAGCCCTTTTCACAATATCCTGTTCATAAAGGAAAAAAAAAAAACATACACTAGAATTCTGAGAAACATAGGCACATATACATTATCTGAGTGATTTTACTAAAAGGAGGTAAAAATTCACTGGGGAAGAAATATAATAAAATCTGTCTTAGCTGGTGGTCAGTGTCTAACAGATTCTGTCTTATAAAACACAAGCTAGTGCAAGGATCTTGGAGGGGAAAAGGGGCACAATAAGGATAGGAAAGAGGATTATTGACTGGTGGTGAAAATAGAGACCATGAACTGTCATGTGAAGTCACATTTTCAAGAGTACTTTTGAAAGAAACAGTAATATTAGCCGTGTTTCATTGAAAACAAAAAGTTCCATGAAAATGAGGACCCAGCTTTTTTCATCTTGATAGTGTAGCAGCATTTGCAGAGTATCTAGCACTTAGTAAGCACCAATATAAATGGTTGGCTAAATCAGTCAACCAATCCATGAATCAATTAATCACTCTGAAAATTTTTGCTACATGAAGAAACTCATTCTTCAGTGTTAGATAAATAAAGGTTTACTCTAATAAAGGTAGTTATTAAACAATGATAGACATTGGTTCTACTCTGATACACATGGGGTGAACATGAATTGATTGGAAAACTGGAAAACAAAAAGATTAATTTTCCCTGGAGTTTCCATTTAAATTTTAAGCTGTGTTACTATCCTTTGTCAGTCATTTATTTTAACCTAAATTATGGTGTAAAAAGACTCTTATGTACTACTACTTCCAGGGAAGGAGCTCTGGTGGTGCAGTGGTTAAGGCAGTTTGCTGCTAACCAAAAGGTCTGTGGTTTAAACCCACTAGCAGCTCTGTGGAAGAAAGATGAGGCAGTCTGCTTCTGTAAAGGTTTATAGCCTGGGAAACCCAATGAGGATTGCCATGAGTTGGAGTTGACTTGATAGCAGCTAGTTTGGCTTTTGTGTTTTTATACGCCAGGGAACTATGAAGTGCTTTTCATGCATTAATACATTTAATATTCCCAACAAATCTATGAGGAGATGCCATTATTTTCCCCTTACACAGAGGAAGAAACTGAAGCACAGAAAGATAATGACTTTGCCTAGGGTCACACAGCAGAGAGGATGCTATCTTTTTTCTTTCTAGAAGAGTTTCAAGATATTTACTTCTTAATTTTAATAAAATAGCATTTTTTATCAAGGGGACTGTTGTAGGATTTGTGGTCATCTTACTGATACTAAATGATGTATTTAAAAACAAAATGTTTCCAAGATCTCATTGCATAATCAGAGCCTTTTTAGGTCAGTTTATTGAAAAGAATTGCTTTCCATTAGAAGAAGAGTATGAGCAGCACCCTATTGTTGCAAACATATTGTTCCTATCATTCCCTGTTGATGGATCATGGGTCTATTATTATAATATTGGTTCCAGGTGGCCCATTTTTCCATAAATGCAGCTGCCTCATGGAGCACATGCATTTGTACCATTATGTGGCTTGGTTTTAGGCCCAGAGCAGTAAACTTTATAATTTTTAAGTGCCCTTTTTCTATTCCATTTTCTTCACATATTTGCTATCCAAAAATAATTGTGGAAGAATGAGATCAAATGGAAAATCATTAATTTTTCATCCCAATGTCAAATGAAGTATAGAGCACAAGAAATGAAGGGTTAAAGCTGCTCGGCCTGTGTGCTGTGGGGAAGAGTCAAAGCTGGCTGACAATATTAAAGGTTGAAATCAGTCTGGAAGGTGATGGATAAAATATATGGAAACATGTTTCTGGTTCTTGTGTGCTATGAATTGGGTTTTTTAATTTTACTTTGAATGTTTTATGCTGAAAAGCATACACACACATGCATAGTGTAGAAGGAACTGCTGGTCTTTGGGAATCATCTAGTTTGGATGTGGAAATGCCTCATAAATTGTGCCTAATTTTCATCAGGCTCTTGACCAGACATTTGTGTTCTTGTGGATATCAGTGGGTGCAACATGGAATAAAAAAGAATGTGCATTCTCTCTCTCTTTTCAATACTGTCATTTCTCACTGTAATGAGCACAAAAATAATTGGACAACTGAGCTATCAGTAAAAGGACACACTTCAGTGTGCGTCAAAGAATTATTTTACAGGACAAACTTTAATCTTTAAATGTGATTGTAGATAATTTGTGGTACCATCTGTCCATTTGGAATTGTTTTAGCCTTTTCTGTCGTTATACAGTAAGTGCCACTGTGTTTAACATTAACATTTGATATTTTACACATTTAATTTCTGTTCTGCTGTGTGGTCCTTGGGGAATGGAGCGCTAGTGCTACATGAGAGAGACAAAGTATTGATCAGTTAACATTTCAGCTACATTTATGTATGTCGCAAAATTAATGAAAATGCCAGACAAAAATGTCAGAGTGCACAAAAAGGTAGAATTTAAATTTGGTAGTTTAATGAAAAGTTTAAGATGTGCATTATCAAAAATGTCCTCTTGCCTTTATAGTACAATTCCTAACAGTATAACTAAAGTGAGACACATATTTTACTTAAAGGAACAATGAACATGAATTACAAAAGGATGTCAACTCCTCAAAATACCTTGTGTTCCAAAATGGCATGTTTGAATGCTTAACTGTTACTCATAAAGTACATTTGTTTCTGTGCATTTCTGGAGGACTACTGGCTTCATCCCTCTGTCCTGACCAGACAGTGAGGCAGACTCCCTAAGGAGATTTTCTCTCTGGTTTTCTCTTGATGTCCATGCGTTCCTTTTGTGTCCAAACAGGGAATTCCCTTGACAGCAATTCAACGGGGCCACACTGGTGCATTACTCATTCCATTCTGCGTCCTTTTAAAATACCCAGTTTTCCTTTGCTTCCAGATAATTTTTGCTCCACCTTCATTCATTCCCCATTTCAGCAAAAGATCACACTCAGAACAGCAGCTACGTTCTGAAAAGCGAGGCCATTAGGCAGGAAACGAGAAAGAGCAGAGATGATCTATGCAAATAATGACATAAGGCAGCTCTATGTAGCCAAATGATTTTTTTAAAAAAAAAAAGGAAAAAAAGTGGAGGAAGCACAAGCAAAAGAGAAAAGGAACCAAACTTGTGGGGACAAGATGAATGCAGCACAGCAATCTGAAGACAATAGGCTCTGGACGACACCTCACTGAGTACTTCTTGTGTGTGAAGCCGCTGCTTATAACAACATGGGTGTTTCCCAAAAGTTACTATAAATAAGAACATTTTAAATGGCCTTCATGATGAAGGACTGAAGAGGGAGTGTTACTTAAAAAGAAATATCAATATGAAAACAAAGACATGTCTACATCATTTGTATTTCAAGTCCTAACATTCATAGTACAGAGCAATATAGAATAGTTCTGCTGGATGTATTGAAGGCTAGTTTACATTTAAACAAAAATTTCTATTTTGAAAACTTAAGAGAGATTAGTAGTACCACACCAACAAAATTATGCTTAAAGACTATAGCAATTTTCAAATGATTTTTATAAAAAGCTTTATTGTTGTTGCTACAATTGTCTTTGAGTGCTACCAGAATAAAATTTCTAAACGTTCCACATGTAATTTTTATTATTTGCTTTACAACGGTAAAGTGACAGAACCTCCAAAATTAAAGAAACAAGTACCAGAGCCAAATGATCTACTTTTGATAGTACTATCATTGTACTCCTTAATTTTCCTAAAA